ATAATAAAAGTTGTCCGATCGAAACTGTTAATGAGGAAGGAATTAACTCGAACATGATGACCGATGTTGCGTTATAGTATTTATCTGTGAGGGTGTCTCTTTAATAGATATCGCACGGAGGGAGAACGTTTCCATTAATCATCCATCGATTATGTGGTCAAAAGATAATCGCTTACTTAACCATTCACTTAGGACAGGGACCCGTCACGACGGTCGACCACGTCGACTCTAACACAATCGATACACCGTCGGCTGCGTAAAGAAACACAAGTCATCATTCGATGTAAAGGAAAAAAAAAAAAAAAAAAAAAGAAAAAAAAGAAAAAAGAAAAATAAAAGGAAAATAAAAGAAAGAAAGAATGGACTGTTCGAGGATGATGCTACTCTAAATGAAAAGAATGGATTGCCGTTTCGAAAATCAGATCGAGGCAAATACTTGAAGAATTAAAATACCTATCGGAGCGCGATCTTTCTAGAAAAAAAAAAAAAAAAAAAAAAAAAGAAAGAAAGAAAGAAAAGATAAAAAAGCAAGAAAAAAAATGTATATAATTATATTCACCTATGTATATAATTACGTTTAAAAGTAATAATGATATATATATATATAAAACAATTAGAGAAGCATATATATATTATAATTAAATTTATCTATTTACTTTGATCGAGGCTTTGTATATTATAAAAAAAGAAAAAAAAATATTAAGAACGAATAAGACTTATGAGTACGTGAACGAATAAGGTTTACGATAACAATAAAAAATAACAACAACAACAACAACAACAACCAACAACAACAATAATAAACAAACGATAGAACTCAACGGAAATGAAGAACGTCGGTATAATGTCTATGAATGATATCGTCGGTTACCTTCCGTACTACATTTTACCTATCCAAGTATACCAAGGATTTATTTTTTGAAGCGTAAAGTAAATTGCTTTGGAATATCGCGCACACGTAAGTCGCATATCGTTTTCGTGGAAGAACGAAGCACGCAAATGGGAAAAGAATGGATATATGATTGCACGAAAATGCATCGGGCAGAAAAAAGATAAAAAAGAAGGAGAAGAACAAAAAAAAATGAAAGAAAAACAACAACAACAACAACAACAACAACAACAACAACAACAACAACAACAACAATAACAATAACAAATCTTAAAGAATAAAACTCGAGTTCTTTGATTGTTTATTAAAACTATCTTCGATATTTATTAACACTTTTCTATACTTTCCAACTTTCGTAGGGATTTCTTTTTTCTTCCTTTTGTTTTTTTTTCTTTTTTTCTATTTCACGGTTTTTTTTTTTTTTCTTTTCTCCACGCACTCGAAGAAGTAGAAATTCGTTGTTAGAGATTCTGACGGTGGTTCGTTCAGCAAAAAGAAAGAAAAGAGAAAAGGATACCTCCTCGTCAGGAAACATTAGCCACGGTCGTTAGTACTAAGGGTAGATTAAAAATCGAATACTCCGGAAAATGTTCAACGTCGGAAGTGAAAACCGTAAGAGATACCACAAGGAACCCTCGACTTGTAACGAAACATCGGAGTCATCTAACTTGTGCGTCCTTCTTCTTCTGTCTAACAGGAAGCTACCGGTTATCCCAACGACAATTCCGATCCTAGTTTAGGCCTCCCTAATGGCTACTGACCATTCGTCGAGTATAGTGTGTAGGGTCGCGTGCCCTCGCGTTTCAAGATATTGCACGAAATCATTTACGAATGGTTAGCAACCAATGCGAACGACCGATGAACTTAAATTCCACGTGCCACGTGTCCTTGCATTTTCATTATAATACCATTTCCCATCTATCAATAACACTAACAGAATATTTCTTATAACCCATCCCACATTTCTCCACCACTACCACCACCACTACCACCACCATCCCCCTTCCCATTTCCCACTCATAAATTAATTTCCAATTATGAAAATGATCAATGCAAATTATACGAATCGCGTTATATCAATGTTTAAAAGTGAAAAATATTATTTACAAAAAAAAAAAAAAAAGAAAAAAAATAATGCACATCTGTGATAGACTGCTTGTTTGTAAAAACAAACAAAAAAAACAAACTAAAAGAAAACAAAGAAAGAGAGAGAGAGAGAGAGAGAGAGAGAAAGAAAAAAAGAGAAAATTATACGCCTTTCATGGTAAAACAATGCTTTGACGGATTATCTTTACTTTCAGCTGATTATCTTTAACAATGAAATATCAATATTTTCATTGTTTATACACGGACATATTAATATTCAATATCGATTAAATATCCTTTTTATGTTTAATTAAGAATAAGTAATTTGTGTCGACATTTATCTTTTATTTTTTTTCTTTCTTTCTTTCTTTCTTTTTCACTTCCCCCTCCCCTCCCCCAGATAATATTAGAAAAATGTGATTGATCGCAAAAAGAAAAAAAAAAAAAACCAAAAAAACAGGAGTAACGTATCTCTTTAAAGATTCTATCATCATTAGAAATTTGTTCTTTTCACTTTTTCACTCGTCACATAAAATACCATACATGATCTTACCCGTTGTCACGTTTATCCATTCTATTATTCGGCTGAGAAAGAGTTCCTCTTTCGGGAGGAACGAGGAGCGGGGGAGGTGGATAGGTGGGTGGATGAGGTGGGGGGGGGGATTGGAGGGATGGAGGGATGGAGGGAGGTCCAAAGGATCGCGTGGCGCACGCGTGCTGCTTTTCGTAGGAGCTTTGCGTGTGTCGCTCTTTACGAACAATGGCCATCGGCCAACAACCAAGTCGCATATCCCTCTTGTAAATACTTATAAACATCGACGACATTTAATATCTAATGTTTCTTTTAAAGCTTATTTACTATGAAAGTTTAGTTTTCACGTGTCCGACGTGATTAAAATTCAAACGTACGATGACAGACGATGATACACCGATTTTTTTTTTTTTTATAATGAAATTATATGAAAGAAAGGAAAAGGGAAAAAAAAAGAAAAAAGGAAAAGAAAAAAAAAGAAAAAAATATTTAACGATTTGACTTTCGTTTAATGAAGGAATTTATTTTCTTTTTTTTCTTTGTTTTTTTCTTTTCTTCTATACCACCACCTCGAGCATGATCAATTATTTGTCGATTAATCTTTAGGAGATTCTTTGCGATCGAATGTGTTTTTGTTTCGTCTGCAAAAAAAAAAAGAAAAGAAAAAAAAAAGAGAAAAAAAAGAATAGAAAAAAGGAAAGAAAGAGAGAAATTGTTTTTTTCCTGAATTTTCATTTGCAAGAATTGCAATTAATTTGACGTATATATTGTCGTCAATTACGTACGAACAGTTTTGCTAATCGTTTTAACGAATTATTTACGAATACGAAGTATGTTTGTAAAAGATTTTTTTGTATAGTCTTTTTTTTGGTCCTCTTTCTTATTTTTTTCTTTCTTTTTTTTTTTTTTTTTTTTTTTTTTTTTTTTTTTTTTTTTAATTAGCACAAAATATAATCAATCATGTCCCGACAATCCTTCTGACGATAACTTTAAGGAAACAATTAACGTTATATCTATATAAACGTGATAAATGATTTAACATATTATACGATATTAAGAATATAAATGAAACATTATCAAAGGGATATAATAAAATTCGATTGAAAGAAAATTTTGAGAAATATTTAAGAAACGATATTTTCTTTTCTCTATATAATTAAATCTATATAAAATTACATTATCATGTTTATCAAATATAAATCTTATAATTTATCTATAATAATTATATGCAATTAAGGATTTAATATTTCTTTATAGATAAATTGAAGCTATTAAGATTAGAGTATCGAAAAGATTAATCCTTTTTATTTTCGTACGTAATTACGAAACAGGTTGTCTTGAAACTGTGAAAATTTCGAAAGGGATTCGTCGAGATTAATCGAACGTTCTCGGATATTCGATGTCGATATCAAGCAGAGGAACGCGAGCGTGCATACATACATGACAGGAAGTGAGCGACACTTCCTCTTAAGCCCTATAATACTCCGTCGATCTGTTACAGTTCCATACACCTGCCTACCTCCTGCTTTAATATGCGCGCCATAATTAGAACATACGAGAGCACCGTAGCACTAAATAATAAACCGGCCGTATTAAAGTCGCGTCCGTGTCGCCGATAAACGTGACGGTCTACGAGGAAACGCGGCAGTTAAGGAAGGAAAAGATAATGTTTTCTTAAAATGTTGTAAATTAACTCGTTACGAATCATTCGATATTACTCGGTTATAAAGTTTAAATTAACAACGAAACTTTTCAAATATTCTTATTTATATTCACAAATGAGATTAATAAAAATATTTATTATCATTATTTCTGACAATGTTAACGATATATTATAAAAACATTAACAGGATCGGCTTCAATAAAGAGTTTTAGAGAAGGGTCTCACAGTTTCATATAGGGTTTACCATCGTAAATCGTATCTTAACTTCTCAAGTTACGATAAGAAACTTTTTTTGTCGGCTATATAAGGCCAAGTAAAGAAATCATAAAACTGATTGTGATTGCACCGACGTATACGTATACGACTCTAATCACTCACATAATTTTTTTTTGCGCGCGAAGAAGTAGTAACTACGCGGTACAAAGAAAAAGAGATAGAGAATGAAGGGGGGAGGAGGGGAGGAAGAGAGTAAAAAAAGCAAAAAAAAAAAAACAAAACAAGGGATCTTATTAAGATTCGTTCTATTATTAAAAAAAGAGAGATCAAATCGACCTAATCGAAATATAATTAATACTTTTGTCATCTCTTCTCTCTTTCTTTTCTTTTTTGTTGAGCTTTTTATTTATTTATTTATTTGTTTGTTTATTTATTTATTTATTTGTTTATTTATTTATTTATTTATTTATTTATTTATTTATTTATTTATTTATTTATTTAATTTTTGATACGTATTCACGAACAATCACGTATATATACGGATATACGTATTCCTTTCGAATGTTTACGTTCGAACGCACGCAATCTCTGATATATTCGTGTTTTCTTTACAGTTGTAATGCATAAGGACAAAGAAGAAAATTCGCATCACGATTCGCACTATCGTGCACGTGAGTTGGCCGCCCTAGCTGCGTACGATCATCATCACCTTGATGGCGAAATGTTCCTACAGGTGAGTGTAATACGCTTTTTCAAGGTCCCTTATCACGCTCAATATTTTAACATTTATGATCTCATTTTGGGCGAGGTGAAATAATTTCAAGAGAGAAAAGACAAAGAGAGAAAGGGAGAGAGAAAGAGAGAGAGAGAGGGTGAGGGAGAAAGTAATGAATAAATAGAAAAGAGAAAAAAGAAGAAAAGGGTAAGAAAAAAGGCTGAAAAAAAGGATGAGAAAAAAGAAAAAAAGACGCATACTAATTAGAAGAGGGTGAACGCGTGTAAACGAATAGACATACATAGCGCGTGTCTGTGTACTTACGATGCGTAAAATGCACCTGTCTGTCCTTAGCACGTATCGATCGACTTCTCGATGCTCGGAACTGACCGATTCGATCGAAATCGATTAGAAGAAACGATTTTTTTCCTCTCTCTCTCTCTCTAAAACGTATCGAGAATTTAAATTATATACAAAAGAGAGAGGAAGATTCATTATAATAAAATCTTTATCATTTCGAATAGTTCCTTTTTTTTTCTTTTCTTTTATTTTTATACATAGATAAATATTTTCTATTTGATATATATATATATATATATATATATATATATATATATAAATTTGTAAAATAAATTATTAGAAATCGTATAGACAGTTGATATATCACATATTTACGATTTAATATTAACAATCTATCTCTAATAACTATTGTCAAAGTCGAAGTTTAATAAACATCGCAAGATTATCTATCTATCTATCTGTCTATCTTTCCGCTTTAATTACTTACGACCGATCGATCGCGTTTTATCAAGGATCGAACGAATGAATGAAAATAAATGGTTGTGGTTAAAAGATACTACGTCGAAAGATGAATGGTCGGCCGGAGTAAGTAAGTACTTACGCGTGTTACAGAATGATTTCGTGATTGAAAGCGTTCGTCGTGAAACCGATACCGCGTTACCCCTTCATCTATCTACCTACCTAACTACCTACCTACCTGCTTACCTACCTACCTACCTACCTACCTACCTACCTACCTACCTATCTTTTAAAAGCTTGTTTCTCATCGAGTTTAGATGGTTACTTACACGAGCGATAGGTGCGAGACCAAGGGGATAATATTAGCATTAGCCAAAAAGAAAAAAAGAAAAAAAGAAAAAGAGAAAAAGAAAAAAGAAAGAAAAAATCATTATCCGTATCCCGTGTTAATTTGCTGCAATGACACCGAGTCGTCGAAATTAAATCATCGCGGGGCTATCAAGAGGGGCTAAGGGGAAAAGGGGGATAAATAGAAGGATGAGGATAAAGCAGAGAAAGAGGTAGAGGAGGTTGTAGAGGAGGATGAAGGAAGAAGAGGTGGAGGGAGAAGTGGTAGATAGATAGAAGGCAAGAAAAGAGGTGAGACGGGAGGAGAATGAGAGGAGTAAATGGTGGGAGGAACGGGGAATGGCATGAAAAGGGGCGGGCGGAGGTTACCGGGGAAGATCGGGGGAAGTTGAGAGAGGGGAAGAAGGAGCAAGATATCCGGCTGATGAACCGGCTATGAAACCGAGGCGTACGAGGTGTCTATTCCTCCAAAGTATGGAAGGGTATATACACGGATTAATGGAGGCGTATCATGCGAGGCTATTACGTTCCCTTTCCTGCGTTTTAGTCTCATGCGCGAGAGAAAGAGGGCTTGGGGAGTGGGAGAAAGAGATAGAGTGAGAGAGAGAGAGAGAGAGAAGGAGGGAGGGCGTAGAATATACTCGCATGAACTCGTACGGAGGCACGCGTACCTTTCATGCGGAGTCCTCCTGCATTACGATCGAACGATCCTGCCAGCATCTATAACGGCCGCGTTATTAATTGTCTGCTCGTTAATTACGTTACGTTAGCCTATACTATAGCCTAACTCCTGCCCCGGAGCTAATCCCGAAACGGGCCTCCGACAAGACCGCTAAGCGATACTCCACTTCTTGTTTTTCTTTTTTTTTTCTTCTTCTTTTCTTTTCTCCTTAATTTTCTCTTTCATTATTTATTTATTAATTTTACTTTCGATTCCTTTTCCACGAATTTATTACGATCTATTCGAAAACGTTAAAGAAAATAATTAAAAATTAATCGATCTATTGACGAATCGTTCATTAAGTAATATATAGCAGTATATAAATACTACTTAGATATATATTAATGTGCTAATGTGTCGTAGAAAACTTTATGTATATTATGATAACGTAAAATACTTTAAAAGGGAAAAGGATGGGATGGGGTGGGGGGAAGAGGAGGAGGGGTTTCCTTTTATAATTGGAGTGGAATATAAAGATTCGATCGGTCAAACGTAATTTCGTGGATGTGCTCGGCCAGTTGGTGGATCGCCTTGTCATAAACCGGATTTACTGTCGTCCTTCGTGAGGTTTACGAGGATCGGCAAAACAGTATATATTGCGAGAAAAGGGGGAAATAAGTCGTCCGGTAAGGGGAAACGGGGAGGGATCGAGGACGAGGGATGGTTAGGGGTTAAGGAGGAAGAGGGAAGGGATCGAAGTAAGTGGAAGGGAGATGGAAAAAGGCGTGGGAGGAAGAAGAGACGACTGATCTTGCTGGGAAAGACCAGGCAGCCAAGCCAGCTTTGGATGGAGCTCACGAATCATTTGAACGTGTTATTGATATATGTATATAGTATGTATCTACGTAGGTAGGTAGGTAGGTAGGTAGATAGGTAGGTAGGTAGGTAGGTAGGTAGGGATATCAAGAAGATGAAGAAAAGGACGGGAGACGATTTTTTTGTCCTGCGTGGGTTGAGAGTACTAAGAGTAAAGGAGGACAAATAAAGAAATAAACATAGAAATAAAGAAAGAAATAAAGATAAGGGGGTAGCAAATGTTTTGAATAATTTTAAATAATAATCTAATCGCGAATTATTTACGGATACATAATCGGATACTTTATTATACGGAACAACAATGACGACGATAACGACGATGGTATTTCATCCATCGTTTATAACGTCGAAGTAACCGCATATGCTTGTAGGTTAATGAAATACAGATATTCCGTTCGAAATCTGGAATAAATGCTTTCGTTAATAACCGGTATACGTATATAAAAGGACTGCAATCTTTTTTTTTTTTCTTTTTCTGATTTTTCATTTTTCTCCTTTTTTCTTTTTCACAATTTTTTTTTTCTCTCTCCCTTTTTTGCTTTTATTTTATTTCTTTTTTTTTTCTTCTATTCTTTTTTACTTTCTTTTTTATTTTTTTTTCTTTTTCTTTTTTTTTTTTTCTTTTTTTTTTTTTTTTTTTTTTTTGCAAGAAAAGCAAGAATTTATAACGATAAAAGGGCTTATTTCTACGTGGGCACGAGGCGTCGCGTGTTTCTTGCAGTTAGTTTTCATTTCTGTCGGCTAACGAACACGCACCGATGGAAGAATAGGTGCCAGAAGAAAGCGACACAAGGATTCGAAGACATTTACGGAAATATAGTTATGGATATGATAAATACAATGTAAACGTTCAAGCTGTGCGATAAAAGTTCATAGCAAAATGGTAAAGTAATAAACGAAATGTCAAGAAAGTTGGTGGATTCTTACGGATTAACCTTATTTTTCTACGAGTATAATCAGGATAAACCCTCTTTATCTGTTCGCTTTATCGAAATAAATAAATAAATAAATAAATAAATAAAAAAAATTAAAAAAAAAAAAATAAAAAAAAAAGGAACAAGAAAGAAAGAAAGAAAAAAAGCGTGGACTTTCGAAAGGCATATTTTAAACCTTTTACATATATTATATACCTCTGCTATAGCGTATCACGTCCTACATCCTGCATCGATATTCCGCGGAACGGTAAAAAGCTCACAACGTCCGACGCGAATGCAAACGCAATTACCATCTATCCTCTAATCCGAGGTATATGAATTAAAAGTAGTAAAGTTCCTATTATGCATTTATGCAAAAACGTCCGGGAGTTATCGTTTCCGTGAAATCGCCATATCGATCGTAGCAATACGCCATTTGAATACTTTTCGCGAGAGAACGCATAGTTGGATGAGCGTACGTTTTAATATTTGAAAAATGTTTCCGAATCGATCGTTAATGAAATATGAAATGATAGAGGAAAATTTAGTTGGGGCATTAAATATGCACGGTAAAAACGTCTACTGTTTCTATCTTTCTCTCTCTTTATCTCTCTCTATCTCTCTCTCTTTTTCTATCACTCTCTCTTTCTTTCTCTTATAACTTCGGTAGGAATCACGCCTTTCAGTGACGTATCGCCCCAAGAGCAGCCATTTTGGTCTCATATTTTTTATTTAATAGCCAGCAGGCTATCGTGTATCGCATTAATACAGGAGCTGCAGGTTGGTAGCGGTAAAAGAGGGTCGTGGTCAGAAATGACCCCCGCAACCGGTAACCCGTAATCACAACCGAGCTATTTTTCTCCCCGCCAGATCTCTATACGGTGCTACCTCGAACGAATTTTCGATCGGTCTCGAACTGGACACAAACCGTTCGTAAGTAGTGTGCCCAGACGATATTCCATTGTCGATGTTCTCTCACGATTGAAAGAAGAGAGCAAAAGAAAGAAATGAAAAAGAAACGAAAAAAAAAAAAAATGAAGGAGAAGAAAGAAATTCACGGAAAAAAATATCGTCCTTTTTAATACAATCTCACACGGTGATATAAATACGATGATAAAGTATACATATATATATATATATATGTATATGTATATAGGTATATAAATGCATCTATCGATTATTTTTCTCGATTCTCGCGTGAAACGAAAAGAACGATACGACGACGATGGATTTTGTGCGAGGAGGGTACGTGAGCAAGGCAATTTAGATTCGCGTTTGAGTCGCATAAACGATTTCTAACACCGACCTAAGTGAATTTGGTATAAAGGCAATAAGTCGACGAAGTAAGGATCCAAGATACGAACGATCGAACGAACGAATAAACGGATGAACGGACTGACTGACTGACGGACAGAAGGACGGACAGACGGACGGACGGATGGACGGACGGACGGACGGACAGACGGACGGACGAACGGACTGACGGCCAACTCGATCACCACGCTATAAGGCTTTTACTTGTTGCTGATGGTTGCATGTCTGCTCTGCCCTGATTACTCCCTATGTGAGGAAAGATAGGTAAGTTTCGTTTTCGAGAAAATTTAAAAAAGAATGGAGAGGCCGGGATTGAGGAGAATTAACAAAAAAGAAAAAGAAAAAAAAAAGAAAAAAGGAACATCTTTGCCGAAGGACAAAATTCAACGTTAAAAAATTATTGTACATAGTTTTCTTTCCTGTCGTTTCAGACCAATTCCATCGTCTAATTCGATAATATCCAATAGATATGTATACGTTGATATGGATAATATACAGATAAATAGATTAGATAGACTGATTGATTGATAGATAGATATATAGTCATAGAATGGAAAGAAACTCTAGAAAAATCTTTCGAAATAATTCCCTTCGGTACGTTAATCGTTGAATGGCCGAGGTCGAACGAGTCGTTCCGAGTCATTAAATCTATTGAAAGTTTCTGAAATCGATAGGAGAGTTAAAGGCAGAGAGGGTCGTCGAGCGAGACAGCTTCGTACGGCTGTAGTTGGATTTTTAAGAGACCTTTCGATACTTTCACTGCCTCCGGACTAAAGGAAGGAAGTGTCCCACACAGTTCGCCTAAAGTAACTCGATTTAAAGCGTTTAAATTGTCGGTTTGGCAAAGGCGAAAGAGCGAAAGCTAAAGAGCAAAAGATAGAGAAATAGAAAGAGATAGATAGATAGAGACAAGAGACAGAAAAAGACAGAGAGAAAGAGAGAGAGAGAGAGAGGGAGAGGGAGGGGGGAGGGAATAAAGAAATAGAGATAGAAAGAGAGAGAGAGAGAGAGAGAGAGAGAGAAGTCAATTGGCAGTGAGTCAGTCAGTGAGACTGAGCGGTGAGGTGAGTCAAAGGTAAGCTTAGGTTGGGTGGGTGCATGGGATGGGATGATATGAGGTTAGGTTGCCGGTCGACGGGGCTCGCCTTGGTCTGGCACCGCTAGTCCTTCCCGCGTATTGATCGCGTGCTCCTTTCCTCCCTTAGATACCACACCGACCCTCTCTTGGCAGCACCACCTCACCCCCTCCCCCTCTTACCGAAGTCGTTCCTGCAGAATATCTTACTTCGATACACCCTTTTCGCATCGACACCCACCACCATCCTTCTTTCTTCTCTTTCTCTCTCTCTCTCTCTGTCTCTATCTCTCTTTGTCTCTCTCTCTCTCTCTCTCTGTTACCTTTTCCAAATCTCTCTTCTTTCTTTCGTATTTATTTTTTTTTCTATCCTATAGTCGTAACAAAATCGAAAGAATATGAAAACGATGATTGTTACGAACAAGGGAATTCATTTTTCTTCGTAGGAAGGTCGGTCAAAGTGTCAGGGTTGCGTCAAGGACGAAAGGAAATTTCGCGAAAATAGATAGGCTAACAGATAGACAAATGGACAGATAGAGAAAGAGATGGAGAGAGAGAAAGAGAGAGAGAGAGAGAGAGAGAGAGAGAGAGAGTTTAAGATGAATATGCATGAATAATAGAAAACAAATCTCAATGATATGTGCAATATGAATTAGATGGGAATAGCGATGATATTCTTTCGGTCTGTTTATCTTGTTGTTTATTATTCGTGCGTCTTTGCTCTAATAGAAGTCGCGCTCGCACGAGCGCGAAGAAAAACGGAAAGAAAGATTTCGTGCGTGAAGTATTATCGGCTAGCAGCTAATACGAGAGAGTCAAGGTGAGGATGAAGGGGTATTAGGAGTTCACGCTTGGGCGGAACACGCCAAGTACTCGCGAGTGGCACGCGACTGATTCTCCACCGAGCTCACGCGATAAATAGGAATCTTTGTTTTCTTTAAAACGACGCTTCTACTTCCGCGACTATCCGTTTCATTTCTTCTTACACGACACGATCATCCTCCATTTTATTTCTATTTTATTAACGTTATATACAGTAAACATAATTTACGTACATATATTATACCAGTTCACGCATGCACACGCACACAAATGTATATATATATATATATATATATATTCTGAAAAATAAGAAATCATAGCGTAAGCTTTTCTATACAAATATGTATAGATATTTATATTATACAAAAATATGTAGAAATATATGGATATTATTAAAAAAAAAAAGTATATAAGACACGAAGATAAAACGTCTAGCAAACGAACTTAAAAAAAAAGGGGAAAAAAAAGAAAGAAAAAAAGTAAGATACATATCAATTGGAAACGTTAAAAAGATTGAATAGATATAAGATAGAAAATATGTTTGATGTACCATTAATTAACTATTATATATCTATAATAATGTATTTATTAAATAGAAATTAAAAATTGCAGATGTATATCTCTTTCTCTCTCTCTCTCTCTCTCTCAGTGAAAGAGAAAGATGAAAATGTTTGTAAGGTGAATAATCCCAAAGGCAAATCTAACAGATCGATTCGTAATTGGATTAACTTGCAATTATACTTCCGCATGTAAGAAAAGGTTCCCGTGAGACGATAGCGTTCACTATATACGAAATGGCCATGTCGGCCATTTCTCTGGTACGGTAAGGTTAAGCTATAACAAGAAGGGGAGAACACTGCCGAGAAAATCCTATTAGAGAGGCACTATCCTTGGATATAGTAAAAGTAAGCTTGTGTTAGAGTACGATGCTCGAAAACTCGAAGCTTACCCTAGCGCACATCGCTATTGACGCTACGCAGAAGGCCCACCCTCCGAATAAACCAATCAAAACGCAGCATCCGCGCATGCGATCACTCCTATGGGTACCATTTTCTATTCGTACGTACTTCCTACGTTTTTGAGTAATCCAACGTGGATGAATAATATTTTTACGAATTCCAATTGAAATGTCAATTAGAATATTTTACAAAGGAAGAAACAATTATCTTTAAGTACAATTGAAATCTTCTTCTTCTTTTTTTTTTCTTTCTTAGAAGGAAGTATAAGAAAAAAGAGAGAGAGAGAGAGAGAGAGAGAGAGAGAGAGAGAGAGAGAGAGAGAGATTAATCCGTTGTATGATCGAAAAAAAGAAAAGAATATGTGTGACAGAATATTTAAATGTTCATATGTGCTTTTCGTAAAGCAAATTTTCTTTTATATTCACGTTGGAGGAATAAAAATGGTATGAGTAGAAAAAAAAAAAAAAACTAAATTCCGTCAAGATTTGACGGAATGATATTATTGATATTGTTTCGAAATGAAATATTTCTCTAAGAAAGATTTGATAATACATTAACATTGGTTATCGATCGTTCGTTATTCGATGAACGAATGGCAGTCAGAATTTGTATAAGATTTGCATGCAAAGAAATACGATGGAATTCATTATTTCTTTCTCCCTCTCCCTCTCTCTCTCTCTCTCTCTCTCTCTTTCTTTCTTTTTCTTATAAAATGCTATTCGGTAGAGGATATCGAACGCTCGCCATATTTCAGAACAATAAGGTCTAACTGGCGTGCCTGGTACGGGGCAGAGCTCGGCGAAATAAAACAAAACAATCCACGTTTAGCTCGGAAACGACGGTGCGGCCGAGGGTTAAATGGTTTTCTCAGCTAGTATAATCCTATACCAAATACCCGTTAGAAACTGGAACGGATATTTTAGGCTTCGATGCGAACGTTCGAGTTCGTAAGCTCGTTTGGTATTTGTCGGTATCGGGTCTACCGATAAATGGGAAAACTTTCCGCAACGTTTTAACTCCCTATGCCACAAAACACAGTGGCGTTCGTTTACTGCGTTTCCTCCGCGGCACACGAGTTTAATTCTCTACTCTTCTCTTTTCTCTCTCTCTCTCTCTCTCTCTCTCCCTCCCTCTTTCTCTCTTTCTCTCTCTCTCTATATCTCTGTCTGTCTCTTCTTTTTTCTTTTTTTTTTGTCCATTCTTTCGTTCGTTTAGTTTTTGTTTGTACGTTTGTACGTTTGTTTGTTTGTTTGTTTGTTTGTTTGTTTGTTTTTTTTTTCTTTCAAAGAAAACTCCAATACCGCAAAAAGGAGAAATTTTTCCTAAAGAGAAATAACTCCATAACATTATTATTAAAATTAATAATGTTATGGAATTATTAAAAATAAAGAATTAATAATTCATTTAATTTATCAATCTAAGTATGAAATATATATCTATTATTGTTTCAGGCACTGAATGGTTTTCTCTTGATATTAACTTGCGACGGGGAGGTTTTCTTCGCAACTCACAGCATAGAGAGTTACCTTGGCTTTCATCAGGTAAGCATTTAATAATGATTTCTAATATAGCTTAGGGAACGTTTAACATTGTACATTTATCGGAAAGACAACGAAAGGGAAAACTTTTCACCCTTGATGATACGTGTCAAGAGCTATAAAGCCTACCGAAGAAAAATCCAAGGGTTTTACCCTTATTATTGTTCGGTTTACTCTCGGTTCGTCTACGGCTACACCCTTACATGCGCTCGACAGTCACGCCAGCCTTGTCAAGTTTACCGTACATGTCACGTTTGCCCAAGCATCATCCCTTTCTCAAACGCGACGTATCCTTACTCTTCCCTCGACAGCGTGCACACATTTTTCAATGCTAATAACGTCCTGCAAACAGGATCGTCAAACGAGCCAACAACACTACGGAGCACTTCGTTCACCTTCGTTTACTTTAGAAAACGATACTCAGCCGATACTCGTTAGAAATATGGGATAATTTCTGTTCGTTCGATCGCGATTTTTATCGACAATAAAGATAGAAAAAGAAAATACTCCATGTCCTTCGTTTCATTAACTACATTATTACTGTTATAACTTTTATACTTGTCGTATAAGATCATCGAGTATAGAAACGATAAAGTTCGAATAATAATTTTAATTAAATATTATAGTATCTTA